TGTTAGTTTCAGGTATACAGCACAGAGATTCAGTTATATATATATATATATATATATATATATATATTCTTTTTTCATTCTTTTCCCTTATAGGTAATTACAAAATATTAAGTATAGTTCCCTGTGTTATACCGTAGGTCCTTGTTTGTCTATTTTATACATAGTCATGGATGTCTGTTAATTGCAAACTCCTAATTTATCCCCCCCCTTTCCCCTTTGGTAACCATAAGCTTGTTTTCTATGTCTGTGAGTCTGTTTCTGTTTTGGAAATAAGTTCATTTGTTTCTTTTTTTAGATTCCACATAAAAGTGATATCGTATGATATTTGTCTTTGTCAGACTTACTTCACTTAGTATAATAATCTAGTCTATAGTCCATCCATGTTGCTGCAAATGACATTATTTCATTCTTTTTTATGGCTAAGTAATATTCCATTGTGTGTGTGTATACATACACACACACACACACACACACACCACATCTTCTTTATCCATTCGTCTGTCAATGGACACTTAGGTTGCTTTCATATCTTGGCTATTGTAAATAATGCTGCTGTGAACATTGGGGTGCAGGTGTCTTTTTGAATTAGAGGTTTTGCCATTTCTGGATATATGTCCAGGACAGTTCTTAATTTTAAGTGTAAAGAAGACAGAACCATAGAAAGGCTTTGGAATCTTCAGGTTTCATTAGTTAAATTAAATCAAATCAATTCAAGATATTTACTGACTATCTGTTACATGTTTGCATGTTAAATCCTGGAGAGTGGAGGTGGGTATCCTTTAGTTAGTAGCCCAGGTGTACTCCTACAAACTTTGGAGTCAGAAGAGTTTGTTTTGAGTGCTGCCTCTTCCATTTACCAAAAGGTGATTTCAGGCAAGTTACTTGACTTTTCTGAGTAGTTTTCTAAGTATTTCAAACATTATTTTACTTAATTCCAGGAGCCACCCTATAAAGTTAACTTGGTGGATATTATCATAATGCTCAAGAGGGACACCTACTTCCCTACTTTTAGTGGGTAGCATGGTGTAGGGGAGACAGGTGAGAGCAAGGATTTTAAGGTTAGACAGGCTTAAATTTGAATTCTATGGCTAGCACCTTGGCCATATTCCACATATGTTTGAGGCTCATGGAAATAATCCTACCTGTCTCAGAACTGTTGTGGAGGTTAAAGGAGGTTAAGGGCTTTCTTACTGCTTTATCTCTTGTTCCTGCCACATAATAGGCACTCAATAAATATTTCTTGAGTAAATAAATATCTGGCATAGTAGACATTCATGAGAGATTCCTTCCCTTCTGATTCTTAGTCTATTCCTCTATTTCTGCCTCTGGAACTATTGAACTTGAAACTCAGTTTGTGTTTAAGGTTTTGTTTTGTTTTAAAATTAATCTGCTTGATTAGGTATTTAGGGTTATAAAAAGGACAAATTAACTTTTTTTTTTTTTTTTTTTTGGCGGTACGCGGGCCTCTCCCAATGCGGAGCACAGGCTCCGGACGCGCAGGCTCAGCGGCCATGGCTCATGGGCCCAGCCGCTCCACGGCACGTGGGATCCTCCCGGACCGGGGCCCGAACCTGTGTTCCCTGCATCGGCAGGCGGACTCTCAACCACTGCGCCACCAGGGAAGCCCCCAAACTTACATTTTTAAATGATTTTTTTCAGTAGAAGGGAGATTCCTGAAAACCTTTAGTATGCATGAACCTAATTTTTTGGTTGTTATTAAGCTCCTCAGAGTTTAATGTGTTTTTATCACTCTCTGTTACTGGACTATTATATTTTACTTGCTGTAATACTAAAATGAATCAACCAAATACACACTCAAAGTAGCATAGACCATAATTTACAAACCTGACATGATCTTAAAATTAGAAATGTGGTTTTGTTTTAATTATCTATGTGTAGTGAGTTAGTTTATGATATATATTTATTTAGCTTATTGACTGTCATTGAAGCCGGGAAGCCGGCTTTATGTAACTCTTCGGAAGTGCAAAAAAATTTTCCCCTTTATATGGAATTAATATTACATATACATTGTTAGAGTCTTATCACATTGTATTAATACATACACATATCTAAGTATTTGACATCCTCCACTGGGCTATTAATTCCGTAAGAGCAGGGGCTATTTTGTTAATTCTTGTATTCTTGCTGCTTAAGTTTGTGCCTGTCAATAATATAGCTGTGTTGTGCTTGTTGTGAGACAGGATACCTGGTCCTAATCAAGGGCCTCCTTAGGGACTTTTATTTTTATTTTTGCCCTAGATATTTAGAACTTAAACTCTGCATAAGTTGCTACTGCACTATATGGTTAGGAAACAGATGTTATTTTGAAATTTTAATAATCAGTAAGACATTCAGTAATAAGTAAGGCACAATTGTTTTGAAAGATTTATTCAAGGTTAATCTTTGTATGAAGAGGTAGTAATCTTACTTGTGTTTTCCAAAGTCCTTGTAGCAGTGAGTTTAAAATTACTCAAATATTAATTAAAGGCATACTGTGTATAAAGCATTCTATACAAGCTTTTTATAAAGCATGTTTTGCTTAGGGTAAAGCTTTTTTAGCCCTATGATATTTATTTATTTATTTTATTTTATTTATTTATTTTTTTTTTGCAGTACGCGGGCCTCTCACTGTTGTGGCCTCTCCTGTTGCGGAGCACAGGCTCCGGACGTGCAGGCTCAGCGGCCATGGCTCGCAGGCCCAGCCGCTTCGCGGCACGTGGGATCCTCCCGGACCGGGGCACGAACCCGTGTCCCCTGCATCGGCAGGCGGACTCTCAACCACTGCGCCACCAGGGAAGCCCTAGCCCTATGATATTTATAAAGGCAGTCTCAGAGTTTGTTTATCCTTTTTCTTAAAATTCTTATGACACCTATACTAGCAGTCTGATATCTAAATAATAGAAATCATGTTTAGGTGGAAAATCCAAAATTTTTCTTGTTCAATTTTTATCTCTGAATGTGATTAATATTACTTTTCTTTCTTTTTATCTTTTTAAAAATAGTATATATGTATTTTTTAATAATTTTATTTATTTTTATTTTTGGCTGCATTGGGTTTTCGTTGGTGCAAGCGGGCTCTCTCTAGTTGCGGTGAGGGGGACTACCCTTCGTTGCGGTACGGGTGCTTCTCATTGTCATGGCTTCTCTTGTTGCAGAGCATGGGCTCTAGGCGCGTGGGCTTCAATCGATGTGGCACGCGGGCTCAGTAGTTGTGGCTCGCGGGCTCTAGAGCACAGGCTCAGTAGTTGTGGTGCATGGGCTGAGTTGCTCCATGGCATGTGGGATCTTCCCGTACCAGGGGTCGAACCCACATCCCCTGCATTGGCAGGTGGATTCTTAACCACTGTGCCACCAGGGAAGCCCCTAAAAATACTATTTTAATAGCTGGTCTTAAGTGACATGCCTTTCTTGGTATGCCAGGCATTATATTCTGCCTTCTTTTTTCTTTGAAACAGACTTATTTGAAAATGTCTATGAGTCTTCAATGAAGAGAAGAGAACTTGAAGATCTGAAGGATAATATTGGCTTCATGGGTCATAAGCCACTTAATAGCATCACTGTGTCAAAGAAACGCAATTGGCTATATCAGAGTACTCTGAGATCTTTTAATTTGGAAGACAAAAATAAGAAATGCCAAGATATAAGTCATTTATCCATCTCACCCGTTTCTCTACCTAAACTGCAGCTGTCACGACCTTTCCTCAGATCATCTGAAGAATATTGTACGTATATGGTGTGTACTGCTACAAATTCTTCATTATCAAGAGACTGTTCATTAGACTTTAATGAGGAAAATGATGCAGATGATGAAGGAGAAATATGGTACAATCCCATTCCTGAGGATGATGACTTTGGTATTTCAAATGCCTTGAGATTTGGGGAGGCAGACTCTGCTGTTCTGAAGTTCCCTGATGTCGGTTTGAGAGTATTATCTGGTAGTGACCTAATGAAAGAAGAGCAGCACACCGAAGACTTGCTGTGCTCTTCTGAACACACAGGTGATGTTCAGACCACACAGTCAAATGAAATAAGTCCTATAGATTCCATCTATTCCACAGAGTTTGTGGAGCAGTACAAGCAAAGGCATGGACACAAGACACAAGAAGGTATAATAGTAGAGGAGAGTCCCACGTTGAAATCTCCTTTTGCAGGTAAAGATGATCATATATCTGCCTTTTCCATTTTTCAATTCTTTGGCAGTATCTAAAACTAAATATAGATGTCTATTGTAGCTATGTACTTTTCCTTACAAAGTGAGTGTATTTTCGTGAAAATAAAACTGAAAAAGGTTTATAAACATTTTTATATACATGGTGGTTTAATTTTTCCTATTACAGACTTGGTTTTGTAAGGGGTGAAGGAGCTGGGGTAGTCCTACACCAACTTTTAGTGTGTGTGGTGTGGTTTTAGTATGTCTATCCTTTGAGGCAGTAATTACTTTTCTCTTAGTTGAAAGAATGGAGTCACAGGGACTGGAAGAGATATATTCTTCATGTATGTCTTGTTTTGCTTCATTCATTTATTTATTCATTCATTCATTCACACCTGGTCTGGCCACAAATGAAAAATTGTATATTCAGTATACTAGCAGTCATTAGTTTTCACTTTTGTGCCTACATTTCCTCAGAAACAAAGGAAAGGAAGAAGAGAAAAAGAAAGGAGAGGTAGAAGTAAAGATCTTGCAAATAGGTGCTACAATAGGTATGGAACCCAGAAAGGAAATAATTGAAGTTTGATATGTATTAGGTTGAACCATATGAAACTGCCAATATTTAACAGTTTTTGGTCTGGAAAAAAAAACAAAAACCAAAACCTGGCATTTCATATAGTTCAACCTAATGGTGTTATTTTTCCTTGATTGCCTTGATTTCTGGTGTGCTTCTTTTTAAATTTAGTCCCAGACGCATTACCTAGGAAAACACTTTTAGTTGCAATTATTAAATGTTGAATAGAAAGCAGTTCTATATAATATCGAGTCATTTTAATTTATAAAATTTCAAATGATACAGAGTAGTCAAAGATGTGGGGTATAGCAGATGCTGTTAGTACTTGTCCATATCCCTTAGGTTTTATTACTTATTTAAATGGAGGCGGCCTACTTCCAAAAATCGGTATCTGCATCTCTACTTGAGGACTCCTTCCGAAGTGTTAGGGAGTCTCCTGCAGGACATCCTGGGAGTGCCCCTCAACTAGTGACTGACAGGAGTTGGTATAGGCCTACCCCAGCTCCCTCCACACTTGGGTGGGATAATTCTATATTGTTTCCCAGAGTTTTCTCATGAAGTTAAGCTCCAGGTGCCCATAGTGGTAGCAGGCTTGATAATTCACCTTGAATTTTCTCCTGAATTTTCTCACTTTCTTGCTGATCTTTTTGTACTTTATAAGTAATCTACTTGCATTTGGATCCTTTTCTCAGGGATATGAGGAGAAGGAGTAAATATTATATTGATAAGAAAAAAAGTGAGTTAAAAAACAGTGTGAGCTGTATGATGTCAATTTTGAAAGAAACAATGAAAAGCTGTCCTGGAACTGTTAATGCTTGACCCATCCTTACCCCCTGTGTTGGGATTAAAACTGTGTGTGTGCATTTCTAATTGTAGTCTGATTTTCCAGAGCGGATGTGTGTTTCTTTTGTAATATGGTTGGGAAGAGGGATAAATAGCCTATAAAATAATAGTTTGGAACAGAGGTTGTGATCAGGATGGAGTGATGAGGAAGGCTTGCAGGAGTAGGGCAGACAGATAGTGATGGGTCTGGAATGGTGCAGAAAAGGCAAGAGGGCATAAGTATAAGAGCAACATTAGAGAGCCAGTGTCTGTAAAGTGATATACACTTTAAGTACTGTCTTTAAACTTTATTATTTTATGTTTGTGGCAAATTGTGAATCTGTAAAGACTGACAGACATTACAAAAAAAAAAACAAAAAACCACCCAAATTTGAAAGTACAGTAGGGCTGCCAATTATGTCTCCTTTCTTACTGTTATTCTTCTCTTAAGTATATTATTACAACAAGCACGTTCCTAAGTTGACCAAAGGAAGTATTTGGACAGTTCGTTTATATGTCATCTTTTTGCTTTAGTTTGATCAGAAAGGTCATTTACCTAAAGTGGTATGTTTTCTTTAGCAACATTGGCAGAAATCTGTTGAGAAATAGGCAAAGAGAATGGTTGAATTTCAAAATAATTTTTTGTTTAAGAAATAAGAAAGTTTAAGTATGTTTAATATGAATGACAATTTTATGATCATCCTAACACAATTGTGACTTGTTTTTTCCCTTTTAACTTCTGGTTGTATATGTATCTTTTACCTAGTTGCTGACATAGTGGACTATTTTTGGTTTTTGCTAATTTTACTTGCTATCTATATTTTGTATTGTTACATGTAGATTAATCTTATGATTGTTTCCCTATTTTTAAAGTATTTAATTGAGTTGATGTGCCCTAATCTGTTTGACTGGTTCCTTAATGTTGGGTGTTAATAGACTCCACTACTGTTGCAGTGATCTTTATCATGATCTATTTTGCTTCATTAGGATCCATTACTAGTATCTTTACTTGGTCTTTTTAGCTGGTAACTATTATAGGTAATTTCTATATTGTATTTCCTGAAAGGTTTACCAATTTATAGACAATTAACAATTGGTTAATTCATTTATTCAATAAACACTGAGTTTCTGGTATGTGCCAGTTACTGCTCTAGATGTTGAAGGAGTGTGCCAGTTTCAATTGATTCAAGCCTGGTTCATAAATTTATATTTAAAGATTTTCATTTTATGTTTTCCCCTTACAAGCTGTAGCTAATCTGTGATTTGGTTAGTATAATTTTGGTTTAATTTTAAGTGATTGTTCAAATTGGTCATATTTCAGCTCTTGGATTTTATAAAAACAAAGCATTTAAAAAAAATAAATTCAGTCTTGTCTGCTGTAGAGATTGCTAACAAATACAGTATTTCATTTTAATAATTAGGTAAGGACTTCAATAGGAGATATTTAATGCATAATATGTAAAAAAGTCAGTATGTTAGATTAACTCTTTATTGATTTAATAAAGCTTAGAGCAATTTCATATACTGGGTAGCTTTTTTAGGCCATGACAAAATAGATTGTAGACTACAGTAGGACTCTGACTACTATAGAATGTTTTAGACCAGGAAACCAGTAGAATTGTACTACAATTTACAGTACAAGGGAACGCTTTGTCTAGTTTATCAAACACTCCATTTCTTATTAGTTGCTTACCAGAAAAGCCCAGCAGGCATACTTAAAATAGTCCTTTCTCTACAAAGAAACTACTTTGTCAATAGGACACATTGAAGGGTGGAGGGAGAATACTATATTAATACTTTAAAGAAAGGTCATTTAATCTACTGATTTTTGAAATGAATAAGCACTTTTTTCTCATTTTAATTGTCAAATGTAGTATTACATAGAGTAACCTCTGATATTAGGGTCATTAAGGATCTTTATAAGGAATTATTAAATAAAGTATGAACAATTAATTTAAATAATTGGGATAATACCAACAGAGTTTTAGAAGTTATTTTCACTTTGTTCTATTAATTTGAAATGTTACTAGGAACAGGTTCAGATTTTTAAATGAAATTGATTAGTCTTTACATTCTTTTTTTGGGGGGGGATTGAAAGTTTAAGGTTAAATGGAATACTTTAACTTCTTAATAATAGTTGAGAAAAGGTATCTGAAAATCAGTTTGATGTATATGTATGGACAGAAAATTGTTTAAAAGGATGGAGAGACTGAAAGCGTAGTATTTTAGAGCATAGATTCTGAAAGCCTGTGTTTAGGTTTGAGTCCTGATTCTTCCACTTACCAGCTTTGTGATCTTAGACAAATTAGCTCATGCATGAGGTTCCTTACCTGGAGAATGGGGTGGTAATGGTATCTTAACTCTTAAGGTTATTATGAGAGTTAAATGAGGTCTGCTCATACTAATTATTAAATTAATTTTTCACACTTTGTCTAGCTCAGTAAATGTTGGCTGGTATTATTTTTAATAATAACTAAATATTAATAATTTAATAATAACAATAGAAACTACTTTTAACATTATTTTCACCACAATATTTACCATGGTTAATCTCCTGGCAGTGCGGTTTTACAGTGGTTAATCTCTTGGCAATGTGGGCTATTATTTACTTTATTTGTAGTTTTTTGAATTTTTTTTTTTTTTTTGCGCTGTACGCGGGCCTCTCACTGCTGTGGCCTCTCCCGTTGCAGAGCACAGGCTCCGGACGCGCAGGCTCAGCGGCCATGGCTCACGGGCCCAGCCGCTCCGCGGCATGTGGGATCTTCCCACACCGGGGCATGAACCCGCATCCCCTGCATTGGCAGGAGGACTCTCAACCACTGCGCCACCAGGGAAGCCCCTTTTTTGAATTTTTAAGAAACGTTTTATTGTAAACCTGAGTAATTTTGACATTTAGGAAAAAATAAAACTATTTTTGTGTGGAGAAGAATTTGAAAGAATTTTAACACTTTACTCTTTATGAAAATTGAAAATTATAAGAAAACATATTTTATCTCTGTACTGTCATTTAATATATTAAAATTGCAAAGCAACGCCCTAATTTAGCTTTTGAAGTTCTATGGAATTATTGCATACAGATAATATAAGAAAGAAAATGTCTATACATTTAAAAAATTATTCAGTTAGGTTTATGATATTCATTATTCAGTTATTCTTGATTAACTAGAGTTCATTCTATATAATCTTTGGTGACATGTTCTAATACAATTTTTTTTTGCGGTACGCGGGCCTCTCACTGTTGTGGCCTCTCCCGTGGCGGAGCACAGGCTCCGGACACGCAGGCTCAGCGGCCATGGCTCACGGACCCAGCCGCTCCGGGGCATGTGGGATCTTCCTGGACCAGGGCACGAACCCATATCCCCTGCATCGGCAGACGAACTCTCAACCACTGTGCCACCAGGGAAGCCCGTTCTAATAGAATTTTAGAGCCAATTAAGTTGGCTCTTAGTTGTCAAAATTATACACTTGTTTGGTTTTTAACTTTTTTTTTTAACCAGCAATGCTATGTGATGAAATTTAGTTTTTAGAGTATTGTAAATATAGAGGAATCATTCTTATATTAGGTAGAATTTATAAATAAACATATTAAAATAGGAAACATGTTGAAATTAATGTTTTAATATGTTAAAATGAACATATTAAAATAGGAAGCTTTCCTAGTTTTCTCTGATATTCACTGTTTACAGTTATAAACACATGCTCACTGAAGTATATTGCAGTGGGAAAGATTTAAAAGGAACCATATTACCTTTCCTCCAAAGCGTCAGAATAGAAGGGCAGATGGAGAGGGAGATATTTCTTTCCACCGGAAGCCATTTGTAGATCTTGATATTCTGCTTGAACATGGTAATGGAGATTCATCTAAACTTTTGACTAAATCTCACCCTTAAGCTGAGACAGGGAAGAATTTGTGTCCATGTGAGAGCTTGTTAAGTTGGTGTTTTATAAAGTAAAAATAAAAGTAGGAATCAAAACATTTCACCTTATAATGTCTTTTATTTTCAAGGTCCTGGGATAGTAGCTGCTACAAATAAGCCTGATTTGGGAGTTACAGGACCATCTTCTCCAAGCCCTAGCCCTGTGAAAAAAGGCAGCTCAATTCATTGGTCTTTCCCGGATAAAATAAAATCTCCACGAACTGTGAGGAAACTTTCCATGAGAATGAAAAGGTTGCCAGAATTTAGCCGGAAACTGAGTGTTAAAGGAAACTTGAATTATGGAAACAGTCCGGATAATACTCCTTCCTTGTCTAAATGTAACTGGCAAGAAATTCATCATGCTGTTATTCTACCTTCTGGGAACACAACCACAGCTGCTAAGAGGAATGTTATAAGCCGGTACCATCTTGATACTAGTGTGTCTTCTCAGCACAGCTACCAGAAGAAAACCTCTGTGAGTTCTAAGTATTCCTGCAAAAGTGGTTACCTCAGTGATGGAGATTCTCCTGAACTTATAGCTAAATCTAGCAAACATGGATGTGAAAACAAATTTGCAAAAGGAAAAGAAATAATTCCAAATAGTTGTAGCAAGAATGAAATAGACATTGATGCTTTTAGACATTATAGCTTTTCTGATCAACCTAAGTGTTCTCAGTACATATCTGGGCTCATGAGTGTGCATTTCTATGGTGCTGAGGATTTAAAACCACCTCGGATAGATTCAAAAGATGTCTTTTGTGCAATTCAGGTAGATTCAGTAAACAAAGCCAGAACAGCTTTGCTCACATGTCGGACAACGTTTTTAGACATGGATCACACTTTCAACATAGAAATTGAAAATGCACAGCATTTGAAATTAGTAGTATTCAGTTGGGAACCCACTCCAAGAAAAAATCGAGTGTGTTGTCATGGAACTGTTGTTCTTCCCACCTTATTCAGAGTGACAAAGACACATCAGTTGGCTGTCAAACTTGAACCTAGAGGTCTTATTTATGTGAAAGTGACTCTTTTGGAACAGTGGGAGAATTCACTTCATGGACTAGATATAAATCGAGAACCAGTAATATTTGGTGTTGATATTCGAAAAGTTGTAGAGAAAGAAAATATAGGCTTGATGGTACCACTCCTGATTCAGAAATGTATTATGGAAATTGAAAAGAGAGGCTGTCAGGTATTATTTTACTGTGTTTCTCTACTGCCCCCTTATCTGTCTATTTGAGGAATAATTAAATTTATTTATAGTAAGTCTTGGGGGAAGGGGTTCAAGGTAAGTTAAAAAAAATCCAATTTAGACTTTTTCTCATTCCGATTCTTTATTTTTATTCCATTACTGTTTAGGATGTAATTTATGCCTTAACCTATGTTGTCAGTGATTGAAAGCGTGCTAGATGGTTCCATAATTTATGTTGTGATGCAGAGCTGCATGGTCTTATACCTAGAGATGAAGATTGCTTTACAATGACATTCCTAGGAAAAGCCAGAGCTGATAACATAGGCTAAGCCTAATTCATTTAAGGAATGTTTCTGAATGTTTTGACATTCTTTTGGTAGAAAGTTCGACAGTGAATATTATAACCCTGTTTCACTCCTAAAATTAACTCCCTGCCCTTATTCCCTGTTCTCCCTCAGTTCCACTCTTTGGAAAGCATAAGCTTATCCATGTCTTACCTTTGGGATAGCATGGAGGATAAGGAGAGGTCCTACTAATAAAAGCACATCTCATTCTCTTTTCCTTTTAAAGAAGGTAAAAGCAGTTCATTAGAACAAACAAAAAACCTGGTGTTATTTGTAACAAGATATGTAAATGTTAACTAGTTAGTAGACCTTATCATTTTCATTTATACATGTAGACTATGACAATGAGAAACAGTGTATCACTGAGGATATTAATCTGAGGTATAAGTAATTATTTATACTAATTTTTTGCAATACAAACTAAGTCTAAGCATCATTATGTTCTGAAGTATTTTGCTTTAGTGCTATCAGAATTTATAACATTCATTAAAAAATATTGAGGATAAATACCACAAAATCTGAAATATGATTTCTTTATAAGAATGTAGATGCAAACTTGAAATAATCTACCTTGAATTTAACATGGAAGTGATAGAAATTGCATAAGTTAGTGGAGTTTTGTATAAAGGTTCAAGAGACTTGGATTCTGGTTTCTCATCCGTCATTGGCTGTGTGATGTTGGGCAAGTCATTTAATCTCTGTGGGTCTTTTTTGCTTATGTTAAATAAAAATAGATGCAGTAGCTTCCTGAAGCTGAGAGGTAGGACATTTGAATTTTTGAAACCTCTTTTCAGATATGTGATTCCATCAAGTCAAGTTTACGTTGTCTGGGTGGAAGTGAGGCCTTCAGTTTCCAATCCAACTTTTGGTCCAGTTACTTTTTTAAGGTCCTCTGTTTTTCCTGTATTTTTTTTTTTTCCACGCAGCATGTAGGGAGGCCAGAGATTAGGCAGACTTTAAAGCTAATTATTTAAACAGAAACTTTTACAATTGTATATTAAAATAAGTAACTCAAATAACGCTGTACTTTTACAGTCTATTTTCTGAAAATATTTTATAAAGAGCAAGTGTATAAGACTGTAATAACTGATTTTAAATGCCAAGAAAATATTTTTAGCAATGCTTTTTATTTCTATACTTAAAGTTTAGAAAGTTTTATTTTAATAAATAATTATTTCCTGTGAAATGAAAAGTAAAAAAATTTTACAGTTGTATGTTTGGAGCTGTACTTTTTCAACACCTTTTCTTGTTTTGTCTCTTGTGCTTCTCCCTGTTGCACCCCAACACGCACAGAAAGAGGCTGATTGTGCCTGCAGTTTACAGAGCAGCATACTGCTTAAATTTTGTTTACCTCTCTAGTCAGTAATTATTCTTGTTTTTTTTACAATGAACATCAGGTTTTGATAGTCAAACAAAAAATGGTTTGTGATATCTTCGAAATACTTTGAAGGCTACTACCACCTGTCTCCTGCTTCCTATAGGAAAAATTAGTATAGAAATCATCCTCATGGTCCATCTGGTTCAGATTCTGTCCTCAATAGAGGCATCAAGCATGTACTTCAAGTGTTTGATTCAAGAAGTCAGCCTCTGAAGGTAGGGATATATCCTAAAATATCCCTGCCTGACATATCTATATTAGCTCTTCCTTCTTTTATTCACCTTTAAAACTATATTTGTAATTGCAGCTTTTGGGATAACATGTTCCATTAATTTATTACTTGCTATTGAAGTGTTGCTTTCTTTAATTTGTTCTAGGTTCATCTCTTTCTCAAGTTTAAGAGGATACATCCTTATGAAATTTTGTGACACTTAAGTGTGCATACACCAGAAGGGCTGTACTCAAGTTAGTTTCTTCTCATGTGGTAGCATTTCCTTTGATCCTGTTTAATATTTTAGTTTCATTGTCTGGATCATCTACCGTTCTACTTTTCTTTCTTGTGATGATGTGAACGTACCATGAATGTGGATAAGAACAGGAAATTTGAATTTTCTTTCCAGTACCTTCCTCGATTTCCCATATCATGATTCTTTTGAATGCAGCAGCACCTTGAATTACCTTCTCTTAGAAATAGTTGTAGGTTCTTTACTATCTTTCAATTAATACTTAATGCTTGTCATCGCAAGTATCTTGATTAACATTTCCATGTATCCATTACTGACGCTTTCCTATATTGAGACCCACTCTCTGTAGTGTATTCTATCAGTTATTTAAAAACTCAGAAGAGGTTGTCATAAGTAAACCGGGAAATTTCATTTGCATTCTTCCTCTAGATCACTTTTAGCATTTTAAAGTGATTCCTAGTTCAAATCCTTGGGGATTGCACTGTGTGTTTTCACTTTATTTCTGTCTTGAAATAATTTCTTTATCTGTAACTTCTTTCAATTCAAGGTGATTAAACTTCCTAAATAGTCTTTGATGTGGAAGTATAGGTGACAACCGCTTTCCTCAATTTTCTTGAAGATTTATCCTTTTAAAAAACTCCAGTTGCTTAATCAGGCATGTTTTCTTTTTAAGATACCATGTTGATTTCCTCTTAGTGAATTTATACTGAACTAACAGTGTTTAAAAAACAAATCTTTTTAATGTAGGTTGAGGGGAGAGTGAGTGTTGTCTTTGCATCTTATATACATTTTGAACTAGAAGTTTTATTTTACCTTTAATATATTATTTTAATTGAATTTCCTTCATTGCTTTATAATCAATTAATTTGATAAGTTAAAAAATCCTAGATTTATTTTTATTTCTTCCTCAGAAACTTTTTTTTTTTTTAAAGATAACTTTACACAAATAGTATACTGGAAACTTATTTCAAAAATATACTTTTTTCGAGTTTTAAAGAGATTAAGTAACTTGCTCAAATTCACCAAGCAAGGAGTGATAGTGTGGGGCTTTATGAATCCAAAACCCTAGTTTAACTGCTGTGCTGTATTACTTCAGTCTAGAGCAAAAGATGTGAAAGGGCAATATCTTGGGGCATGGAGATATTGTTTGAGCATGTAAAACTAAAGGGTAGGGATTGTATCTTTGCTTAACATATGATAGCCAGCATTACAGAAATCACAGTATATTGTTCAAATTTAAAGGAAAGAATATAATTTTTTATCAAACTATATAACTATAACTATAATCAGTATAGTCTATGGTGAGATTTCAAAAGCTATGTTTGAGATATTTTTAATTAAATGCCATCAGAACATATTAGATTGCCAAGTTCATGTGATTTATACATACTGCACTATAATATTTTCTCTTTATCCAATTTACCATAATGTGGCCATAATTTTATTTCTAGGTAGTAGGCCTGTACCGATTATGTGGCTCAGCAGCAGTCAAGAAAGAACTTCGAGAGGCTTTTGAGAGGGATAGCAAAGCTGTTGGTCTGTGTGAAAGCCAATACCCAGATATAAATGTAATAACAGGTAATAAATAGATGTTATTTTTATGTACACATTCTGGAAAGACTACATCTGCACAAAAGAGAATTGAAATACTATTTTGTAGCCTAAATTTAATTTGGTTTTATTCTGCAGTCTTATTTTCCTTCTTTTACAAGCACTGCTGTGTTATTTTCTGTGGGGAGATAGCAAGATATGGTCCCTGTCCTCAAACAGCCAACAAGTGTTGGGAGGAAGAGACCGACATTAAATTAACTGTAGTAGCTAACAGAAGGAAAAGGGTACCTTTTCTTCATAGAGAGATAAATAAAATGTCATCAGAGTTCAGTTTGACTGGAGCTGACATAATATAAGGGGCATTGACTATCTGGTTAGAGAATTTAGATTTATTTACTAGGCAGAGGGGATCCATCAACGATTTTTGAGCAGGGGAGTGAAATCTTTAGAGATAATCTTCAGGAATATTTATCTGGCAAGTCTGTGTGATGGACTGAAATTAGAAGATACAAGAGGAAGGAAAACCAGTTAGGAAGCCTTGGCAATAGTCTCAGCAAGGAGGTAATGAGATTGGATGGCATCTGGCAGCAGCAGCAACAGCAGGAAGAAATAGAACTGAAAGTGTTTGAAGAAAGGGAGGGCCCAGACAATCCTGACTTTGACACCTGGTTGATTGGGTTCCATTAGCAGAAGTAAGAAAGCTGAGAGGAAAGCTACAGCTTTTGGTGGAGAAATGTAGAAAAAGATTATGAATTGGGTTTCTTTTTCAAACTTATATACTGAATTTGATGTACTAGTAGGAGATCTCAGTGGATATATCAAGGATATATCTCCTACAGCTAAGGAGAGGATGTAAGTAGAGTGTGAGGGATCTGCTGTTTACCCAGGTGATGAATGCAATCCAACGTATAGCATTGTAAATACACTTTTAATACCCCGACTGGTGGGGGTAGAAAACGGCAATTTGATGGTCATTGGCACTAGTTGTAATTAACACCTTGCAGTTGTCTATAGAGTTTGAAAAGACAAGAACTTTGAGGATCTCCAAACTTTGGAGGCAGGCAAAGAAAGAAGAAACAGCTGAAGAGATTGAGAGGAAAGGAGTCAGAAAGTATGGGAAACAAGAGACTACAGAGTGTTAAGGAAAGGTGTGATGCACTGTCATTCTGAGAGATCATATAAAATGAGAACAGAAAAAAGGCCTTTGAATTTGGCCATTAGGAGATTTTCATAACTAATCGATATTTGAGGTCTATTGGCTTATAATTCCATGTTTGTTTTTTGTTGTTGTTTTACTTTTTATTAGCAAAGTTTTCAAGCATATACACAAGTAGAGAGAATACTATGATAAACCTTCTTTATCCATCACCTGGCTTCCATAATCAACACATGACCAAACCTGTTTCATTTATTCCCCTCATTTGATTCTCCCCAAACTTGGATTATTTTGAACCATATCTCAGCTATCACATCCTTTCACCTACAGATGCTTTGGTATGTATTTCTAGATCATCTATGTATTTTGATGGTCTTTCTCTTCTCTCTACTGTCAACTACCGTTTTTTTTTTCTTGCTGTAATAGTTTTTGTTTTTCTCTTCTAATTTGCTTTCTTATTTTACACACAATTAATTGTCTAGGTGAAAATTTGAGGAAGGTTCAACTTGCACATATTCAAGAGATTTTTTATTAGTTGAAATCCTTAAGGCTAACTGTTAGGATTGAGGCTTTCCAAATAATTGAGCTTCCCAATCTCTGAACTCTGAGTGACTGTATTTCATAGAATATTTAATATTATATTCTTGGATAACTAAAACTTTGATCCCAAGCATTTTAATTCGAAGAGGGAGCAAACCAAAGCACTTTTTCTTTCTCCTAAGTTTTAGCAAACCAGAAATAATGGTTACTTTTATTTTATAAAGGAAGAAGGCATATTATTTCTACTAAAAAATGGGTCATTTCTACAAAAAAGTAGAATTTTTCCCTTAATAATGTGTAATTAACAAAATCAGCAAAGGACTCATTTTATTAATTTATTAAAGAAAAATTTTATAAATAGCAATCCTCAGAAAATTACACTCTATAACTAAATAAAAGGAGATTTTGTCTTGGTTGAAGACTTGTCTTGGAGATAAAAATTATGTCAAATGTGTATAATTTAAAAAGATGAAGTGATGTGGTTTGAATTGATTATTTGTTATAAGAGAAGGTCCTTAGTGGGAAATTTGCAGCATTTGCAGAAGGTATGACAATAGGTCAATGAAACATTTATAGAAGCATTATTTTCTAAAAGTGAGAGTTTACATAATTTATGAATTGGGTATTTCTTGGCTTTATTCTTTGTATATTCCATTTCAGTAAACCTGTTTTTCAGAAGAACCTAGAGCTGTTTTCTTTCTTGATAAAAAGCCAGTGGGATGACTTAAGGTTTGTCTGAGAAATATCATTGGAATTGCAATAAAATATACACAAGGGCTCATCGTGGCTCAAAATAAAGGGTATTGTTGATTTGGGGAACTGGCCAGTAATAGTGTTGCCTCATGTGTTTGTTCCATGTGAACTCACATTTCAAGTAAACTTTAAAATATAATTAACTGTTCAGTAGGTCTAAAAGAAGAGATATTAATGGGGTGAATGATAGAGTTTACTCACAGTTTAATGCATTCTTAGTAGTTGGTTTGTCTGGAATACAGAATGAAGTGATCCAGACAAACCAGATTTTTTTCAATCAGGTGCAAAATTTAAGATATAAAATCTATTCATAGTACAAGAGAAGAAATTAGAAAAGTCAACATTATTTATTTAGTGATTATTAGAGTTTTAGGCAGAGAGAACAGGGTGAATTTTGTGATTGAGAATTAATAAAATATAGGTACTTCAAACCAGCCTCTGAGAAGTAGTAGTTTTAGAGATCAGAATGACTTTTTTTTAGTGTGGTGATACATATATCCCACCATGGGGATGAGTAGAATTTCTCTGTGTAGTTGGTCCTGTGCCTGAATGAGGGTGAGAGGTTTCATAGTATCTAACTATTACAGGGCAGCTTAAGAGATGTAACTAGAACCAGCTCTTTATTTATCAATAATTGCCTGCTTCAAGTACATGATAAAAGATTTACTGTGTTGCATTAAATAAACTTCATCATAAATTCTCCCTAAGTCTTTTTAAAGTAGCTCCTGTAACATTAAAGCTTGTCACCACAAATTTATTATCGTACGGTTTTTATGTCCCAAAGTGTTTGAAAGATGTTAAGAAGGCAATATGGCTTTAAGATGCTCCTGCCTATCACTAAGTTTTTGGGATAAGGCCATATAGCTAATTTCTAGACTGATGAGTAGTCATATCATATATGTTACAACGCACTATGAATACCTTCTCTCTGTTTCATTTTATAAAATCTTTTGATTATTTTTCCTGTGACGTTTGTCTGCTTATAGAAAAGCAACTATAATTTTTACTTCATTGAACATAATGTTCATTGAGCATACTTTAAGTGCTTAATATTTGTTATAATAATTCTCTTATTTGCCCTCAAATTTTAGTGAAGTAAGTAATCTTGAACTTGGGTTAATTTAAAATTCCATTTATATTAATGGTTGTTTAGCATATTAATCATATAAAGGATAATGATATTTGAAATATATGTTTCACTAAGGTATAAAGTTATCTTTTCTGGAGATCTTTTAGGTTTTGATTTAATATAATTGCATTACAGGGCAAGTCTCAAGCTACCAGGGCATATTGAGTTTTATAAGAACTAACAAGTCTTGCTTTGTCAAGGAACAACTATGGAACCTTTAAAAAAGATTATGCCCTAAAGGGTTAGTAATGTCTTTATTTGGCAGCTACAGAAAATTGCATTTTCACTTTCTAATTGTAACTCAATGCTCTTTACACTGAATGTTGCAATTCATTGTAGGAAACTAATGATAGTAGTAAAGATCACATGATATAAGTTAAGGAATGTGAATAAACAATTGTTGCATGCATACTGTGTACAAAATGCTTTATCATTATCATTACTGTATGTCTAACATGTATTGATAATTATTATATGCCAAGCACTTTATGTATGTTGTATCTCTTTGTATATATCAAAGAAAAAGTTTGGGGCTTCTCTGGTTGGCGCAGTGGTTGAGAATCCATCTGCCAATGCGGGGGACGTGGGTTCGAGCTCTGGTCCAGGAAGATCCCACATGCCGCAGAGCAGCTTGGCCCATGCACCGCAACTGCGCTCTGGGGCCCGCGAGCCACAGCTGTTGAGCCCATGTGCCTAGAGCCTGTGCTTTGCAACAAGAGAAGCCACCGCAGTGAGAAGCCTGCGCACTGCAACAAGGAGTAGCCCCCACTCGCCGCAACTAGAGAAAGCCTGTGCGCAGCAATGAAGACCCAACGCAGCCAAAAATAAATAAATAAAATAAATAAATTAAAAAAAGAAAAAGTTTGGTCAGTATCCTCTTGGCTCCTTAGTGCTATTTCCAGGTTATTACCTTTTTACTATTGAGTAGGAACTTATGCTCAATGAAGGAATGAGCCTTTTTGGAGGCTCATGGCACACTCTTGCACCACCTCTGCCTTTCGTATTTAACATCACCTACAGAACTCTTGGGCATTCCCATTTATTCAGTGAAGACTTTGATACCTCGCCTATGGTTAGATTTCCAACTGGAGTCCTGCCATCATCCTGAATGATTTTAACATACAAATGACCAATCCAGAACACTCTTCTTATCTAACCTAACTCTTATTGGGTATCAACTGATACCTTAAACTCTTTCTTGAAGCATTCTTTCCTTCACTTCCTTGCAGCATATTTGCCTGTCTCACCCCCACCCCCATCCTGCCTCTTCTTACCACTCATATTCCTTTAGCCATTCTTCCTACTGATGTTCTTCATGGCCTTCTCTTATCACTAGGCCTTCTCATATCATGCTGTATGCTGCCCTGATAATCTCAGTCATTCCCAAATTTCCACTTACCATCTCTAAGTTGATCATTCTCAGATCTGTGTCTCCAGCCATCTCTTTCCTGAGCCTCAGATTTTTATATCCAGTAGGCTTGAATGTCCCATAGATACCTTAAGCTTAATACGTTCAAAATTAAACTCCTTCCTGTACCCTAAAACATGGTTTTCCTCCTTTTTCTCCTATTTCAAGTAATAGCACTGTTATTCACCTAGATGCTGAAGCCCCAGACCTAGGAAATATCCTTACACCTCCTTTTCCCTCAAAATGACAAATGTATTTTTGACCCAGTGGTCCTGTTTTGGGAATTCGTCCTACCAACATACGTGCATACATACAAAGTAATGATGTGCAGGTTATTCGTTGTAGCATGTTTTGAAATAACAAAAGATTAGAAAGAACCTAAGCAGCTGTCTATTGTAATTGACTAGATCAAATTATGGGGCATCCATACATTGGAATACTGTGATGTGGCTGTAAAAATGTTTGAAGAAAATCTCTACTGAAAATATGTCAAGGATGTGATGTTAAATGAAAAAGCAAGAAACAGGACATATATGCTATCTTTTATGTAATAAAGGGGAACAAATAGTAATATTTATATTTGCATAAGCAAATACTGGAAGGATGCATAAGAAACTAATGAACCATGGTCTATCAAATTTAAAAGATTTATTAGATGGGAAACTTCCTTTATGATCATGTTTAAATTCAAATTAAGCTCTCAAACTAAGTTCTCGGCTAAGCTGAGAGCATTTTCTAAATCAATATTGTCTCTTAAGGTTTTTGGTGTCAGAAATGTATTCTATATTTCCTTGTGATCACATTCTTGCCTTTAGCTAGTATCTTACCTACCTTCCTTATATGTAACAACCATTAATTACTCTTTTCTGTTTCCTCTACTATAGGTATATCATCTCTTAGTTCATAACTACTTTTGGTGTGTTTGAAATTGACTTAACCTCATTCTTACTATAGTGACAAGTCTGATGTTTTCTGTTCTTGGCTTTTGGTTTCATTTGTTTGGTTTTAGGAATGATTTTTTCCTTCCATAGTATAGCATTAGAGATTATCCAGACTATCCAGTATGTATGTTTAAGCCATATCTTCTGTATTAAAGAGGAAATATATTTATATAGCTCACTTATTTGCAAGCACTTATGAAAAGCCTAGAAATTAAAAATTCACATAATTGGAATAATTTAAAATTAATATTAGTATGCCTTATTTTCTTTTACATGCACTTAGAGGAGCTTTTTATAAGGGATTTACTTTATGAACAAACCTAATATGTATGATAATTGGCTATTATGTGTGTACATTATTAGCATGGTTTCAAAACAAGTCAATTAGTGAAGCAATTTCTAAGGATACAAATTACTATTGTTTTGTTATAATACTTCTTTTTACATTGTTGCTTTTATTGTTTTCAGATTGTTAAAAGTTCGCTGTAATAATTCTTTGAAAAAAAATTCACCACAGTTTTTTATTTCACTCTAAAGACTAATTGCCATCTGTCTCTGGTTTGTTTTCTGAAGGTGTTCTTAAGGATTATTTAAGAGAACTTCCTTCTCCTCTGATAACAAGGCAGCTTTATGAGGCTGTATTAGATGCAATGGCAAAAAATCCTTTGAAAATGTCATCAAATGGTTGTGAGAATGATCCAAGTGATTCTAAGTACACTGTTGACCTGCTGGATTGTCTGCCTGACGTTGAGAAGGTAAGCACAGTTGATATGCATTGAAAGTAAGCACAATTGGTATGCATTGAAGGTAAGCACAATTGGTATGCATTGAAGGTAAGCACAACTGGTATGCATTCTTTCTGGAAGCCAGCTAATGAATTGTATACTTAGCTCCAGAGCTACAAATAACTTTTTAGATATTTGACATTTGTAGCACTCATGAGTTTTAGCTCTGCCTTTGCCAAAGGCTACTTAAACAGCATAAATCTAGAAACTGCTTCTTAAACAGAATAAATCTAGAAAATAATTTTATCTTTTCTGTATATGATTTTAGCCAAGGAATGAATACTCCCTATAAGTTTTGAAAGAGTATTGTTATTATTAAAATGATATATGTTTATTATAGAAAATTTAGGAAGATATAGAAAAGAAGAATGGAAATTATAATTATCAATATCTAAAGACAACAATACTTAACATTTTGGTGTAGTTCCTTTTAGTATTTAAAAAATATGGTACCTGATTGGTGTACATGGCTTAGCATCAAGACTTAAACAACCCTCACCACCACCATTTCCTTTCTCCTTGTCTCTTTACATTTGCCCTCTCCCCACAATCTGAATCTTGGGACCAGTATCTTCAGGTGTGCCTGCAGGAGAGATAGGATGACTGGGTCTGCAGAACTAGTTTTAGCCTAACTTTAGCTCTTGTTCCTTAGAACAAAAGGGAAAATAAGGGAAAGAAATGTGGCCAGGCTTATCCAGATGAGGCCGGCTTTGCCTATATTTCTTTCTTTTTAAAAAATATTTATTTATTTATTTATTTGGCTGTGTGGGGTCTTCGTTGCGGCGTGTGGGATCTAGTCCCTTGACCAGGGATCGAACCCGGGACCCTTGCATTGGGAGCACGGAGTCTCAGCCACTGGACCACCAGGGAAGTCCCTATATTTCTTATCATATGAGAACAGGAAGTCCAAGAGTGAGTGGGTAGAAATGTTTTAAGCCCAATACCTTCATTCACTAGTTGATTGTAGTCATCTGAATGGCCTGTACTCTGTCTGGTTAGATTAGCAATTACTGCTCCTTTGGGTGGGAGAGGGGAGCAGCTACAAAGGTAGACAGAAGCAGAAGGGTGGAGTGTGGGGTAGAAATATCCCTTCACCAATATAAGGTAAAGTTATACGTGTCATTTTACTTATAAGTGAAGATTTGAGTGTCAGGGAATGTAAATCACTTGCCCAAGAGTATATAGCTTTTTTGTGTTGTAGTCTGTCATATGAATTTAGGTCTTTCTGGCCTTAAAGTTCATGCTGTTAATATTCTCTCTAAAAAGGCTGCATAATATTCCATTTAGTAGATTTGACAATTTATCACCATTCTGTTTTGTGTAATATTTAGGGTTTGAACCTATTTGTATATATTTGTCCACAGATTTCTTTTCAGTTAGAATTACTTATTTGGAATAGAATTTCAGAGTGGAATTGCTGATGTAAATAATGTGAACATTTTGAGGCTCTTAATACATTTTTCATATTACTTTTCAAAAAGGACACAACAATTACATTTTTTGGCTGATCTTATTTCGTAGACAAAAAAAAAAGATTTCTTATTTTAGGTTGTGTTTCTTGGCTTGCTATTGAGATTGAACCTAATGTATTTAACCAGTTGTGTGTGTGTGTGTGTGTGTGTGTGTGTGTTAACTGTGTTAATCAATGTGTGACTGGTTTTGATTTCAAAATATCAGTCTAGTCTACTCTAGATCCATTTTGATTTCAAAATATCAATCTAGTCTACCCTAGATCCAATTTTCCCCTCATTCCTTCTCTTCACAACCAAACATTGAGCAAACGTTTATTCTGGCGGTTATCACTTCTTCACCACTCATTTACTACTCAGAATATTGTCATCTGGCTTCCTGCTCCACCTCTGTGGACCTGTTCTTGCTAAGGTTACTAATTACCTTCTAATCATCCAATCCAGTTGTCACTTTGACTCCAGAAATGTCATTTTGATTTTTTTTCTTTCTTTAATAATTTTTAAAAATTACAAATTATAGTTGGCATTTATTTCTTCAACACAATTATGAAGAAGAAATTATACACTTACTTTATTTGTTAAATGATTGATCATATGCTAGTATATCAAAAAACATCATTCCTAAATAACCATTCTAACTTCTTGAACAAACTCCTCTTACTAGTTTTTTCAAGGATTTAAAAAAATATTTTTCAATCAATTTTTTTTCACTTCTAATTATACTATTCTTCCCTTTTCCATGGTTTGTCTACTTAAAATATTTATTAGCTAAGAAGCACATTGGCCTTTTTCCTAGCTGGATCACAATAGAACCTAGCTATGGTTGGCTCCCTAGATTTTAGGATGTTGGTCCCTACTTATGACTACAGGATTTATCTGAACTTAAAAATAAACATTCTCACCCTAATCCCCTTTCCATTGCAGCCTTTGCTGTTATCTTTTTAGAGGAGGGAAGAGAGGAAAAAGTTGATGGTATATTTTCCCAGGGACTCCAGCTGAAATTTGGAATGCATTCATGTGCACTTTATAGAATGAATATTTTAACCATTTAATGAATCAGATTATGTCATTGAAACCTAAGGGCCCTGTGTAACATTTCTATAAGAAAATATGTTTCAAGTTCCAAACATCCAACTTACAAGCAAATCTTTGAAACAACCTTTTAAAAAGTGACAGTGCCCATCTATATTTTCTGCTATAATTTGTGTCCTTGAATTTGCCCCTGTGTGACTGTGTTAAGTGAAATTTAATTTAATTCAATTTAGGCAACCCTAATGATGTTGTTGGATCATTTGAAATTGGTGGCTTCTTATCGTGACGTGAATAAGATGACTTGCCAGAATTTGGCTGTGTGCTTTGGACCCGTATTATTAAGTCAGAGGCAAGAGACTTCCAGCCATAACAACAGAGTCTTTACTGATTCAGAAGAACTTGCAAGTGCTTTGGATTTTAAAAAACATATTGAAGTTCTTCATTACTTACTTCAACTCTGGCCAGGTAAATGATTCTACGGAAATATTTTTATCTTTCAATGATAGGGTGTTTGAATTAGCTAATCATTAAATATGCCCATGTATGATTGAAGAAAATCTTTTCTAGATTTTACTTTTTAAAATAGTTATGAATTGATACCTGCCCTTTAGATTTCTCCATTAAAATTTTCTGCTTTTGCTGATACTATTGTAGACATAGAGATCAATGTATACATTTTGGATTTGGTCAGCTCTGGATTTGAATCCTGGTTGTGTCACTTATTAGCAGTCTGACTTTGGACAAGTTCTTTAACATCATAGAGCCTCAGTATCATCTTTTGTCATGTGGATTAGTAATATGTTTATAGAATTTATAGGAGGATTAAATAAAGAATTATGTGTGTAAGGTGCTCAGCACAGCTCTTAGCACATAATAGGTACTCAGGAAAATATTAATTTCTTTACCCTTCTCGTTTTTATTTCAACTGATATAAAGCAGAATTCATTTTTCTCCTTAAATCAGTTCTTCCTCCTGATGTCTATACTGTATTCTTGGGCATTCTTCAAGTTATCCAGCCTTGAGCTGACAATTATCTGCAATCTTTCCATCTTTCTTATCCATCCCCATTCTACTCAATAACGAAAGGCTGAGTTATTTTTCTAATACATCTCTTATGTAGTTTCAGAGCTAAAAGGAATATGTATTTAGTTAGATGTTTTATAAAGGGTCCTGTATTTAGGTTCCAAAAATTTCTTACATGGTAGTAGCCCCTGCTTCCCTCCCCTACCCTGCATAGTACCAAGTGTGAAAGTACTTAGATGCTTAGTGTAGTGCACAGTGGTAGAAGTGCTTGGGCCCTGCAGTCAGGCTTAGATTCAGATCCGACTGTGGCACTCACCAACAGTGTGGACTAAGGCAAACACTAGTTTTCCTAGGCCTCAGTTTGCTTCTCTATAAATAGTGTCTACCTCAGGGTTTTTGTGAAGATTGAGATAAAGCATCTAAGGAAATGAGCAGAGAGTTTAGCATAAAGTTAGCCCTCAGTAAATGTGCTTTGTTACTCTTTTATTAATGTATATGAGAAGAATATACCAAAGTACAAAGGATTTCTTGATTTAGTCTTTTAAAAAATCTAATTAATTTAAAAAAATGAATTAAAAATTAAGCTAATAAAAATTTTCAACTTTTAAATTTGTAGAGTTAACATTTTTGCTTTCTTTTAAACACAGGCTTAAAAAATCATTTCTAATTTATATTTTACCTGAGTTAGTATGTGTTACTTATTATTTAAAAAATCCTGAATGAAGATGCTCTGGTTAATTGGTCTGATTTCTGCACTTGGTGCCCAACATAAGAAATCACTCAGGTTCAAGTTTTAAATGTGTGTTTCTTAGCTTTTCCTAGAATTGCTTTAATTTTAATAAACATGAGGAATTGGGAAAGGAGCCATCTTATTCTAATCACAAATGAAAATTTGTTTGCCTGGAGATACTAAGTTTACTATCAGTACCTGAGTTCTTTATCATTAATTCTGTATCAGTGGTTAATATCATTTCATTGTTTTGTAATAGTCATCTTAGTCTTAGGTTTAGGAGCAAAAACTTAACTTGTATGTTATAGAAAAAAGGCAGGTTCAGATTTGAGATTCACTGTACAGTATTTCAATGACAACCTTAAGCAACTGTCTCCTAATGTACAGTTCCTTATTCCAAAGTTTTGTGTGATTGGATTTAAAAATAACTGCCCCATTGTCTATAACCTGTTACTTTTCTTTAGTTATAATACCTCAAACAAAGGACAGAACAGGGCAGAAAGATAAGAGGAAACAGTAGTTAGTTTTGCCCTCTAACATCACTTGCTTTTGGATTCAAGAGGCAGAAATCAAGTAGATATAGTGCACTTACTGAGCCTGAGAAAATTGATGGTGACGTAGAGACTGGGCCACACCATATTAACTTGGTGAATGCTCATCTCTATGCATTCAGTGGAAGGTTTTAGCTCCCTTGCTATCTGTATCCTACTTATTTTTCTTTTTGGAACTTCCCCTACTCCAGAGGTAAAAAGAATTGGTTCCACCCTTTCCTGCCCACCTGCCTTTTTACTTCCTTAACTTTTTATTTTGTTCTGTGTTATTTTTAAATTTTGGGCAAGAATATAATTTGCTTTGAGCTTTCTACTTGAAAAATCTGTCTTCATTCAAAGTGATCAGTTAGAACCCTGGCATGTTGGTACTGGAAGGTAAAAGTCAGCCTGCCAATTGCTTTTCAGATTGTCTTCTGCCAAAGCCCTAAGTTCTTTAGAAGCAGCCTTGAGGCCAGATTGGCAACAGGTGAGGGAGCAAAATGGAAACATATTTCCCTTTTGACCAAAACAGTCTTCTTTTCATCTTTCTTATGTACTGGGTTTTTACAAAGTAGTTGCTTTTTAAAAATAGGGTTGCTGTTTTAAGAGTATTGGAAATTAATGATAGGCTACACTTTCACTTTATAGATGGGGAAATAGCTTTAGAGAGTGTGTAACTCTTAGACCAGCTGTTTGGTGTATCACATATTTTATGATGAATAGATTCGGGATAGGGCTTTCTTTTTATTTTTCTTTTGGAAAAGCTATCAATTTTCCCTAATTCTTTTTGTTTCATTTTTCTCACTAGACTAAGCTTCATGAGGTCAGGGACTATATTTTGCTTACACTTATATTTCCAGGTCCTAACAGAATACTTGGCACTAACTAGACACCCAATATATTGTGTTAAATAAGGTAATTATACTATAGATAAAAAGCTAATAAAGTGGTGACTAAAAATATAAATCTATTGGAAGAAAACAAGATAAGAAAATAAAGTTTCTTAGTAATTATCATTATGTTTGGAAAAATTTTCAGCAAATTTATAGACTGCATGTTCATTTTATCCTGTTGAAGGTAAGTAGTCCACAGTGCTAGGAAAACCAGAACTTTTCTTTTGGGGTTAAAATTAGCCATTTTATCTACATATTTAATAGGAAACCATTTCACCATCAGTAGTTTAAAAAGCTAGTAAAGTTGATTTTGTAGAAATTGAAGTTTTAGTCTAAAAGATGTAAAATATTATAATTGGTTTCTTAAATATTTTCCAAGTAAATATACAAAAATAATGTTTGGATAGGAACTTGGTTAAACAACTTTAAGCACCTGACCGTAAAATGAATGTGGGTTTTGCAGGTGAATGTCGGAAAATGCAGACAAAATAAGACAAGCTTAACACAGAATCAAAAATGTTTTACTTTGGTTGGATCACAAACCAGCTGACCTCAAGGTTAGCAGAGTGCTGTGATGGGTTGGCAAAGCAATAGACATGACACTTAAGCACTAAGAAGAACAGGAAAAGCACAGAAAATGAAGGGAGGAAAGCAAGGAGATTTAGAGGAGATAAGCAGTTTCAACAGAAGAAGGAATATGAATAATTAAACAGTGGAAAAATTCAGATATCAATTCTGCAATTACATCAGTTAATGGCATAGGACATTCTATATTAATATTGTTATTAAATATCAAGGTAAAGTAACTATGAGATCTTTATTTTCTAGAAAATTTTAGATCAAGAGCTTTTAGCTGTCATAATGATCTGTAATAATTATCATAAAAATGCAGATAAACAAAAATGTTAAAGACATACCTATACAAAGTTATCAAGTATTTTAATAAAATAAGTTAAAAAAATTATGCAATCTCTGAAAATGTTATAAAATCACTGTATGTCTGGAAAACTAGAACCATATACATGTTTGTATTATTCTTCAATTATTTGATACAGTAGGAAACAAGTATTTATTAGATGTTGGAGAGTGTAAAGTTGGTGCGTTATCACTGATTATATGTTCCCTTTATCTTAGTGAAGGGAAGTATTAATGGAGAATAAACAAGCAGAAAGGGAAAGGTATTATGGACAGTTTTTAATAGCCGTGCCTCAACATTTAAATTAAGTCCATTCAACAAGTGTTTTGTTCAATACACACAAAAGAATCAGCTGTAAAGCCTTGGTTTGTTGTGAAATAATGTGTCTCCATGGTAATATATTTGGCCAGTGCAATGCATACTAATAGAGGAAATAGTCTTAATATGAGGAATGTTATTTGAAATTGTTAGATTCCTAACCAGAATGGGGAAATAAAATATCTGTACTATTTTCAGGCAATAAATGAAGATTCTTAGTAGCTAATGCCGTATAATCAAGCTCAGGTAACAAGTGGACAAGTCTAGATTTCGTTCATTTTATCAAAGTGAAATTTGGGCTGCTTAAAGTAAATTATGACACTGCTGCTAATAGAATTGCAAAAAAACACAAAGGTTAGAACTTTTAGAGTGAGCACTTTAGATGCCTTGGCCTCGTTTAGATGTTTGCAGATGAAGGAACTTTTGTTTCGTTTGTACTCCATGCCTTGCCTGCTTTTTGCCGTAGCTTTTAATTTAGAAGAAGCTACCAGCTTAGCTACTGTTTGAATTACATCTAGATAATAATTAACTTGCACAGAAAGTTAATCAACATTGGAAATTTATTTTGGGATGTTGTGATATAGCATGAATTAGCACCACTGAACGTTCTACTGGCTTCTGTCCCTAATCTTGATTATGTCTGATGATAGAGAAAATAATTATGGAATGCTTTGTTTTGGTAGTGTGCATGTGTTTGTTTTAATGCATGTTTATAGTTGATTATTAAATGGCTTATATTTTTAGCTCTGTGTTTTTAAATTGGATTCAGTTGGATTACTGTCGCTAAAGCAAATTTATTGTTTGTTTCTAGTGCAACGTTTAACTATCAAAGAATCAGCAAACAATTTGTCCCCAGAGCAGAAGTCTTCTCTAAATTATTTGAGGCGGAAGAAAGAACCACCTTACCTGTTAAATTTGAGTGGTACTGATTCATCAAGAGTACTTAGGCCAAGGCAAACCAGATTAGACAGTCCACTAAGTAATCGTTATGCAGGAGACTGGAGCAGCTGTGGAGATAACTACTTTTTAAATATGAAAGAAAATTTAAATGATGTGGATTATGACGATGTGCCTTCAGAAGACAGAGAAAATGGAGAAAACTGTAGCAAAATGTATGAACCAGATATCATGATTGAACAGCCAACTCCCACATCCAAAGAGTGCACATTTCAGACATATTTGACAATGCAGGCTATTGAGTCTAGGGACCGAAAAGTCAATCTCAAAGACCTACAAGAAAGTATTGATACTTTGATTGGAAATCTGGAGCGTGAACTCAACAAAAACAAGCTTAATATGAGTGTTTGAGGTTGAGAGTTTTTTTTTTAATAATGTCTTAAGTTTCACATCAATCTTTGTCACTTTCTTGTGTCTCTCACAGTGATGTTTTAAATTTTTTACTCTTGAAAGCTTCAGTTACTTTCTAACAGGTTCATGTGATTCAATTAAAAACACCATTCCTTAACATAATTTTTACTTATTTCATTAGAAAATTTTTCTTGAGGTAAAAAGATAATCTGGACTTCTTGTGGATATTTGTTTAAATCTTGCCAATTCTATGGATATAACTTTAAAATGCACTTCTAAGATTCACATAAGTTATTAGCCCCTCAAGATTTTTGTACTTTATAGGAACTGCTTTTCTGAAACAGATGTTCCTTCTAGAAGAATGCTGTGGCTGCTTAGTCTGATTTGCAGTATGAGTCCATGCACACTGCAACATCATTCAATCACATTTCATTTGCAATGCAAAGGCTGCTATAAGAAAACCTTTTTATAAATAAAAGTAAAATTATACAAATATTAATGTATTCTGTATTAACATTCAGTAATTATTTAAATATAAAATTAGATATTTTTATAATCCCCAAAATATGTGTATATTTATAAGTGCATATATATATAGGTATTAGAATGAGGGGAGGGATTGGCTGCAGAATCACAGGTATCTTTAAAATATATGTCATGAGGCCAAAATCATTAGCTTAAAAATGTCCTTTTCAGGGAAATAACATTTAAGTTAAAGGAGGAGCTGCATAGAAACACTTGAATCAAAACACTAGAAACATCTAAATATAGAAAAAATAGACTTTCCTTTTTGATTCACAGAAAGTCACAATATCCCCAGTGAGAAGTCATCCTTTAAATTGAAATCTTCTAATTTTTTAAGGGATTAAGTTTCCAGATTTCTGCACTGGTGACTTAAATTTAAAATTCTTCACCTCATCTATGTGTTTTTATCTTCTGCTTTTTAAAACAAAATAATTATACTTAGAACATATTTATTTGTAATACATATATAACTTTGACTTTATAATTACCTTCATTTGTTTCTAAAGAAATCTTGCCAGCATACTACATGTTATTGATTTTTAAAAATTAACTTATTTTGGCTAATTATATCTTCAAGATAGTCATTATAGCAATTACAACAGTGTTTGAAAATGTAAATTTAGAAGTTTTTTTATTAAATCGGAATGTATTTTTTTAAACTTTTATACCTACAGAAAGTGTAATTTAAAATTATTAATAAAATTTGAGTTATCAACTTAAAGATGTAGCAGCCATTAAAAAAACTGACTCTTTGATGTTTTTCTAAATATTAAAGTATTTAACTATTTCTATGCAATATACATTGATAAGTGGAACACCTTGTTATTTAATTTGAAAATTTACTTGTTAAAAAACCAGATAACTATTTTTATATGAAATTTTCATTTTTAAAGCTTTGTATAACAATTCAGAAGAATCCCAAAGGAATATGTGACAGATATATATATATTGAGTAAACAGTCAATAGAAATGTACCTAAATATTTTGTAAGAAGACTGTGTCAGTCTTCTTCCTTTTGTTTGCTATATCATGTATATTGTATGAATTACTCAGTTGTTCCAAAAATGTAAAGGCTTTATTAAAATATATAACCTTGGTGTCATGCTATTAATTATTATAATGATTTTTAAGGGTCACTTATTTTAAAGTCATTCTTTTAAAGCGAACATGTTAAAGTATTGGACCATCATATATTATCCATAAATATATGTAATAACTTTTTTTTGTCCAAAACTGAGTTTTCCAGAATCTGCAGTACTTTAAGGGCCACACTTATTTTGTTACGTTATTTTGGGAATAGTTTTAAAGTTAATCTCTGCCATCTTAAGTAGAAAATACTAAACATTTGTTGTTTAAATCACTGTCATAATAAACCTTTTATTTTTTATTTTTTAAATTAATTAATTAAGTTTTGGCTGTGTTAGGTCTTCATTGTTGTATGCGGGCTTCTCATTGTGGCTTCTCTTGTTGCAGAGCATGGGTTCTAGGCACGTGGGCTTCAGTAGTTGTGGCACGTGGGCTCAGTAGTTGTGGCTTGTGGGCTCTAGAGCTCAGGCTCAGTAGTTGTGGTGCACAGGCTTAGTTTCTCCGCAGCATGTGGGATCTTCCTGGGCCAGGGCTGGAACCTGTGTCCCCTGCATTGGCAGGCGGATTCTTAACCACTGCGCCACCAGGGAAGCCCAATAAACCTCTTTTATTGACTCTGCTGTATTCAGAATTGCTCAATAGGTATATGCCTTTATTTAATATGGCCTTTTACTTCAAATCTATTCTGAGCTTCTATACCTGCTTTTTGTAATCTCGTGGGATCTTCCTGTACTGTTAGACAGTCAACTCTCATTCCCGACTAAGCCTTCCAGCCCTAATGGTTTTTAGGATTAAAAACAATTTTAGTTTTAGTGCATGTACCTGAACAAAAATTTTAAACAATTCAGGTATATGGAAAATAAAAACTAAAAGTGTTCCTCTCTGACATCCACATCAATCCCACTTCTCAGAGGAAACAATCACTTTTTATTCTTTAGGTAGCTTCCTCTATCACTCTAGGTTTACTGCTGCTGTTTCTTGATTTGTCATTTAAGCGATATCTGTTGGTTGTCCATTATGAGTGATAAGCAATTTATCTCACTCCATTCCTCCTTCCCATTTATTCTTTTAGTTTTCCTTTGTTTTTCCTTGATCCATCAGTTTTAAACAGTATCTCTTGACTCCATACCATTGTGGAAATGACCAACCCTGTACTTACTTTCCAAATCATTACTGCCCTTTACCTTCAATTTCCATAAGTTATACTATTAGTTTATATAATCAATCATTAATAGATGTGTATTGTTTTGGGGAACTATACTTGACGTATGTTTTTCCTTTATATATTGATGCTAAAAACTAAATCAATAACTAGCAGTTGTGCTAGATTGTGCAGAAATATTAATGGGTAAACCAGGTGATTCTACAATATCTCTAATCTTATATTCTTAAGTCTATATACTGATTTAAGCAGAATACAAACTAAAGGTCAAATGGATTATTTTATTTTATAGCCATCAATTTCTCCAAATCATACTGTGTGTTACTTGCTTCATAATTGGGTCATGGCTTTTGAAAATTTTAATTTTTCCTGGAGTAAGAAATTACCTTTTTTTTTGGGCGGAAGAAAAATACTTCCTTTACTGTAATACTTGCTTTATCATTGAATTACCAACTTTGTTCAGAGTGCTTTTAGCTGTCATCCTGAAGTGTATTATTGCCTTTATTTTCTTTGACAGAAGAAAAATATTTTCTTTACTATAAACCCTGAGATCATTTTAAGCTTCTTAATCAGCCTTATCACACTTGGGCAAAGTGATTTTTAGCTGTTATCTTGGAGTGTATTTTCTTTGCATTCCTATGTGCCACTTTTTTTGTTTCCTATTGTTTCATGACTTTTTTTTTTCTTTTGGCCTTGCCATGTGGCATGCAGGATCTTATCACCGACCAGGGATCGAACCCGTGCCCCCTGCCGTGGAAGTATGTAGTCTTACCCACTGGACCTCCAGGGAAGTCCCTCCTATTCTTTCTTGTTTTCATTTTTTTTGTTTTGTTTGCTGAAGTATATTTATAAGTAAACCACCGCCCCCCCCACACGAACCTCCCAAAGCAGGGTGCATGGGAGATAAACTTGGAGTCCTTACCTATCTGACAAGGCCTTTATTTCTTCCCCATACTTCACTTTGATTGGACTTGCAGTTCTAGGTTCAGACTCATTTACCTTTAAAACTTTGAAGACATCTCTCTGTTATCTTCTAGCCTCCAGCTTTGCAGTAACCCAGGCAAGAAAGAAGGTGATTCAGACCAGGGAGGAAACAATAGAAGTGATTGTATTTTCAATACTTTTTGAAGTAGGAGCCAAAGAAACCTGCCAGTGGACTGTGAGAGAAAAGAGTAAGACCTGAGCAACTGAAGGATGGAGTCGCTATCAAATGGGACTGAGATGACTCTACTGTATTTTTTTAAATGAGTTCCTTGTAATGGATGTTGCTATTATTAATACAGTGGTTATGGAAATGCCTTATAAAGTCCTGTTAACTATAAGTACTAATGCTTCTGTACCTGGTGATGATGCCCATAGAGTCACTTCAAGAATAAAAAAGCAAGACTTCATATATATCTAAGCAAAGTCCCACATCATAACTGTCTTTGGAAATTTTCAGTTTGTGTAGCTTTATATTAGGGATCCTAAAGAAACAGGTTTGGGAGTAATACGGTTCCTGGAAAGAATTTAGTTCCAAACCATAGAATGACTTTGAGGCTTAGGATTTTATAATTTTAAAACATCAATTTTTAGCTGCTCAGATAGTGATAAAGTTGTAGTATGTTTAATAATCAACAGCAAGTCCTAATCTGGGACCTGAGGAATCTGGTACAAAGAGGAATGCCCTTTTCTCTTTTCCCTGTTCAGTGTTCACTTTGAATTCAGTAAGGCTCATACATGATTAAACATTGAAGTGCTATCATTCCTGATTCAAAGTCTGTGACAGAAACATCAGATTGTGCCCCAGCTTCCAGGAGTCAGAGAGCAATTAGTCAGCATCGTTTCTCTGAAACTTACACAAAGGTAAATTCTATGAAAATAAAAAAGAGATTTAGATGCTGAGCAGTGACAAATGTCCACAACAGTTCCCTAGGCTTCATCTTGCCCTGTTGCCCCAAACTTGGAGTCTTTCTCTTACCCCTTATACACAACCTGTCAGCAGTTCTGACTACGATATCTCCTGAAACTGTGCACTTAAGTTTGTCACTACTAACACCCTAGTCCAAGCCACCATCATCTCTCAGTCGCTTCCTAGTTCATCTCTTTGCTGTCACTCTCCGCTCTCCACACCCACAATCCATTCCATTCATTGAAGCTAAAGTAATCTTTAAAAAAGATAAACCACATCCTTTCCTGAGCTTTTTCCCTTGCTCTCTGTGCTTCAGCAATACTGCAGACCTCATTT